CTATTATCATTTCATACTGTTTCACAAGCGCGACAACACTCCCATCAGTCTGAATGCACGGATCTTTCGACTCGACCAAATCGGTCTGAGTTTCGACATCTCTTCTCTTTGCCTCATTTTCGACATACTTTTCATTAGATTCTACAGTTGTAATCTGACTCTCTAGCTGTTCATTCGATTTATCTGTCATTTATGCTGCTTTCTGTGCTCACCATGAATAAAGCCCTGGGTTATTGATGAGTAGTTGCTTGACCAGTGAATCTTTGAGGTGGAGGCTTCCTTTTGCGCGGCGAAGTACGCCACTGAAATACCGAAGGTACAGCATTGGTTTGAAGGCATATTTTGCCCGCAATACTTTTCTTCAATTCTTGTATTTAAAAATGGTGCGAGCAGACCATGGTAGAGTCCAAGACTTTGAAGCTTTTTCCTTCCTCTCGACGGATTGCATGAAGCCATTGCTTTCTCGCGAGTTTTTCTTTGGGAAACTTGAAGTAAGATATTTTTTAACAGTTTTCGTCGCGGTATCCCCTAGTAGTCCATGAAGGAACACAGCAGTGGCATGGCATTGTACATATTAACTTGAGCCTTAGCTATATTAGTAGTCAATTCTTTGAGAAATAAAGCTTTTTGGATTGATTAATTGTGCCAGAAACTTTTTGACAATCGCTCACAAATCCATGCCCGGGTGGCCTCGTCCCCATGCACTAGTTTTAGTCTTCACTCGGCCGCCGCCATTATGGCAAAGGTGTATGGGACAAATGAAATAAATGTTTTTTTCTCATCAATACGATTCTGCATTTACCATATGCGACAGTGACATTTGACAAGACATTATAATTATGGTCAGGTAGCCATATTCCATTTATTCCATTCTAACATAAAGGAACAAATGAAGTAATTAAAATGCTTTTTTCTAGATAAATACAATTCTGCATTTAACATATGCGACAGTGGCATTTGACAAGACATTAGAATCATGGTCAGGGAGCCATATTCCAGTTTGATAGACGTAGCTTTGTGGAAATTGATATAGTAACTGCAAGAAATAACACCCCCACGAAGATCCTCAGCAAAGATCTCTTTTTTAAACTAAGCTTCCAACAGTACCAGCGTTGGCCAGTTGAGTTGGGAAATATATTTGACACCGGCAACCTTTCAAATCCCTTCCCTCTGCTTGGTTGCTGTCGCACACATCACTACTCCCCTTAAGAAACTTTCTATGTGCCACGTTGAGAATTTTTTTTCAAAAAATTTAAAATATATATATATATTGACGAAACAAATCCCTCACCGAGCCAGCAAGCGTATTTTTATCAGATTTATGGGCAATCCACCAGTTTTTGGCGCACAAATTTTATAAAAAAAAGGGTTCAATACAAGTATATGTTGTTAAAAAGCTCCCTTGAAAATCACTCGAACTGTAAGTTAAATTAGTGCGTTCAAGAGGAGGTGGCGTAGTTCCTTAGCTAGTGACCTGGCCAAATAATGTTATGTTGAACCAGGAAATTATAAACTCTTGGTTAGACTTGATAATAAGATACTTTTACTTTCATATTCTCAGCTATTTAAAAAAATACTTCTAAATTTAGACATGACATTTAAACGTATTCTCCAGATTATTAATCAAATGCCTTGGATAGAGCAGTTTGTCAACTGCGTGTCAAAAAACCAAAATCGAAGAACAGCGGCCAATTAGAAAAATAGATATATTTTTACATTATTGTTAGCCGATGAAAGCTGCGATTAAAAACAAGCACAGCACTTGAAGCGCGGTTGTGTTTGACTTTTGAATTTGATTGGTTGAGAGGATGGCGCGAATTTCTAGACCAATCACAAAGCAAAGTTAAGAAAAAGCAACGCAGTCCCAAACCACTTTCAACACTCAATTGAAAACTGCTCTATCATGTTTAAGCGAAGCTACACTGCACACTTCAAATTGCTTTAAACTATTCTACTGGACTCTACATGTTCTGTTCGTTTTTTGATTGCCTGTAGTCTTAAACATATCCTGGTGCCTAGTCCAAAGCAAATCTTTCAAACAGGAGCCCGTTTCTCGAAAGTCCTGGTAACTTAACGGGCCCGAAGCCATGTTTTAAAATCAAAATTTAATGGATAGGAAAGCAGGTTCTGACACCCAAACCAGCCCTTTTTGTTTCTTTACCTGATAATCTTATTGTATCGTTTTCAAAACTTTTTTAAATCCCCATCTCGAATGAAAACAGAACAACTTTACGGGCCTGTTAAGTTACTGGGACTTTCGAGAAACGGATCCCAGAAGACGGTGAATTTCTTTGTTATCTACCTGTTGGTAGGAATATGAGGTTGTATCACGACATCATACATAATAATTACCTCCTACATAAAAACTTTGTAATCTGTGCAGTGATTACGCACCAATCTTATGAATCTACACGATGTCAATCTTTTCGGTGCAGGAGACTTTATGTGCCGATCCTTCTTGCTGCCTAAATACAAGCACGATGGTTGTATGGGTTCGCTTGTTATCAGCCTACAAACAGTTTTAAGGAGTTTGACTTTATATTTGCCTGCCGGATTGCTGCAGATAGATTTGATAATCCAAGAGCGAATCGTTTCCCTCTGCGACACGAATTTTGAACAGCTTTAGACTTTCTACGACAAAAATTTGAACTGCTGCACAAGTCCCTTCAGTATGCACATTCTCCATACTGTTCTCTTTTAATACAATACTTTATTTCAGAACAACATGCAAATACATAGTTATTAAGAAAAAGGAAACCCAGAGGTTGGCCCTATATCAAGGGTCTCCTATTTATGTAAAAAATCTTACAGAACTAGTTAATAAAAAAAAAATATATATATATATATATATATAACTAACTGCAGACAGTACTGTTTCGGCCTTCTGGGCCTCATCAGTGCAGTGCTAATGCTAGGATGGGGGAGAACCGAGACGGTCACCCCAAACGACCCAACCTTTGTGGTATCGTCTAAGCCATGCCAGAGTGCTCAAACTAGAGTAAACCAGCGAGCATGCGCAATTGCAACGGCAATGACTCATCCTAGATAGAGTGCTCAATTTGGACATGAAAGCAAAGCTTTGTATGCCAAAGAGCTATATCTAACTGCAGACAGTACTGTTTCGGCCTTCTGGGCCTCATCAGTGCAGTGCTAATGCTAGGATGGGGGAGAACCGAGACGGTCACCCCAAACGACCCAACCTTTGTGGTATCGTCTAAGCCATGCCAGAGTGCTCAAACTAGAGTAAACCAGCGAGCATGCGCAATTGCAACGGCAATGACTCATCCTAGATAGAGTGCTCAATTTGGACATGAAAGCAAAGCTATAAGGAGGAATTAGATGTTAGGGGTCAATTCCTGACTACAGCTAGTCATGAATAGCAGAGCCTGCCCTAATGACGAACGCAAGAAAAACGCGAATTGTCGTTAATCTTGTCGATCGACTTGCATTGATCTTTAGGCGACAAGTGGTATTATATAACTTAGGGACCAGCAATGTATCACCTGACGGTGGGGTGCGAGGGAGAGTAGGGGATTTATTTTGGGGAGGGGGGGGAATTTACACGGTTTTCCGGGGGAAAAAGGAGGGGATCAGTTTTCCCTAACAAAGTATAAAAGAGGAGACCATAAGAATCATAAGAATATTACAGAGCCTTAAGGGGGAGGGGAAAATCAGGTAAATCGTGACACAACTAAATTCCCCCTCCCCACCCCCACCCCCACCCCCTTCTAGGTGACGAAAAGCGTGAGCGACTAAGTAGACCTCCAAAATTCAAAGGCATTTCTTATGATATCGACAAAGAGGATCTGTTTGCCAATCGAGAACTCTTGGGTGGATGGTAATGACACAACCAAAATTTCCCACCCCACTTCCAGGCGACGAAAAGCGCGTGAGCGACTACGTAGACCACCAAAACTCAAAGGCATTTCTTATGACTTATGATATCGAAAAAGACGATTTATTTGTTAATCAAGAACTTCCTGAGTGGATGGTCATTTCCTGTATTCCCAAAACCTTAGTGTTTGATATATCAGTAATATTACAAGAAGAGATTAGATGCCAGTCACCCTTAGTGTTTAAAGGTTAATTGACTGATTGCCAAGCGGTATTAGCCACTTCAAGATATTCTTAAACGTAATTCACTATAGTAACTTATAGTACTTAGAAGTAATTTATTGAAAATTCAAACGCTTCCCTTGTAGGTGATCATTCCCGTTTTCTTTTTTTTGTTGTTGTTGTTTTTTCTTTCCCACGACTAAGAATGATACCGAAAGAATGAATCAGATCCTAGTCACCGTTAGGGGTGAAACACTTTATCCTCTTTTGGGGTGAAAAGATAAGCTATCGTATTTTATAAAGTGCATGCAGTATGCACGACCATCTACTATGTTACTTGTAATATCAACGAGAGAATACTCTTTTGACGCAATTCTTGAATAGAATCATTAGAACATTTAGTGATAAAAACGAGCGATAAGAAATACGAACGACGTTTCGACCGCTCCACGGTCATTTTCAAGTTAGAGTTCATGAGTAAATCGCTCTGTTTGTTCAGTTTTGGCTTAAGAATTATTAGAAATGTGCAATAAAGGCTAATAACTGCAAGCTACTGCAGGTTGTTCCTTACAAGTATAATATTCTTATAATGTACAATGTTTGAAGTCAGGTATTTATAAATCTTAGATATATGATATCTACAGAAGATACGTTGCTTATATAACAATCAAAATATTAAGAGTTATGCTGGTTGTAAAAAATAGTTCATGGCTGATATGAAGCGGCGGCTTTTTGTTTTTTGTTTTTTTGTTTTTTTTGTTTTGTTCTTGTTTTCCACGCTAAGAATTTTCAAGCAAACACTTTAAATATCACACTCAAGTCTTGTTTCAGACGAAGCCCACGTCATACCAGCCACGGTTACTTCATGCGAGGTTTTAACATCTGTAGTAATGATGGTGATAGCAATAAAAAAAAAA